GGGAACCTCACATCAATTGACTCTTCACACCTCAAAAGACACATGCCATAGTATCCATTCCCACTGAATTTAGCTTAGATATTTCTGCCACAGTTGCGCCTCTTTGCACCAAGTTTGAATTTAGCCCTGGGGGCAACTGGGTTAAAGAGAGTTTGAGGAAGAGGCCCCTTGCCAGGTTAATAGTTTAATCTTCTGAAGCTCAGAAAAATAAAAAATAAAAAAAGAAAGAGGGAGAAGGAGGGAGGGGGAGAATAGGAAATAAATAAAGAACACCCAAAAATCTGCATGACTGAAAGAGGCACGTTTAATGCAAACTCTCCATATGTGCAAGAGTCTGTCAAGGAACATACAGCTTCACTTTTAATTACTGTCAGAATTTTTTTTTAAAAGGATCTAAAAAGGAAAACAAAATTTAAAAAAAAGCCCCTAAACACCAGAAATGTATCAACCACCAATTTTAATTGGCTGGCAGGTACAAATGGTTGTCAGAGGCCTCGCAGCCAGGGGAGAGAGATTTTCCCCTAAAGAGCTGTTGATTTGGAAAAGAGGTACAATGGGAGGAGTCTGCGAGCAGGTTCTTTGTGTTTGCAAACCCCCAGTCCTTGCCTGGTGGTTACAGAAAGTGGATTTATCTGCGATTCCATGTGAACAAGAAAACTCAGCTTTTATCTGCTGCAGTACTGTCAACTTCAGTGTTCAGAAATGGAGAGTGAGCTGCCACCCACCCGCCTCTCTCTGGTCCCTGCCATCCACGGTATCACTTAAGCATGCATTTTTTAAAACTTATTATTTTCTCCCTTGCATTTGAGCCTCTTGTGTCCAGCTCCCCAGCCTCTCGGCACAGCCATAGATCAGATTCCCCCGTAATCAGATGGCCTCAGGAGCTCAGGCTTTAGGGAACAGGCCAAACCACCAGGGTCTGATGGCACTTGCCTGTCGTGCATTACTCCCCAGGTGCTTCACAAGGGGAAGCAAGTGCCTTCCACCCTTTTACAAATGGGGCAGGATTGCAGGAGTGATTTGCCCAGGATATCCCGCAGGTCTGTGACACAGCCAGGAATGAAACCTCTGGCCTCCTAGCGCAGTGTCAGGTCATTCATCACGATTACGTAAATGAGAGTAAGCCACCTCCTGACTCGATGCCTTCTTCTCAGCTAACTAGCAAATTGCCCCACTGGCTATGCCTGCACTGCACTAGACAGCGCGTTTTAATTTGCCTAGGGAAGCAGGAGGAGTCAGCTTGGCAGAGCCCCGTGTTAACGTAGCTGGCCTGTTTCCAGTACCTGAGCTTTACCTGCTTGAGGTAGCTCCGGTTTATCTGCGTGCCTAAATGGTACAGCGTAGACAGCCCCACAGCCTTTTCACTTGAGGAAATCCCATCCCCCTTTGCTCAATGCAAGGCTGAAACAGTTTTTATGCTAGAGCAGGCTGCCAATTTTGTCACTAAATTTCACAGATCGATTGGCATAAATGCTACATTTTAATTTTAACATTTGAAAATGGTTTTTCCCCCTCCTTAAATGACAAGAGGTTCCAGTTTATCCTTTGCAGCAAGTGAAATTGGGCTCATCTGACAGCTCGCAGCTCCTCTGACAGCTCTGGATTTGGGCCGATTTCACTGTCAACTTCATTGCTCACTCGTTTTTGTTTAACCTTTTCTTCTAGAATGCCCCACGCAAATTACCACCAAAACGGTACACGCAACCACAACAAACAACAGTAGCTGCGTTCACCTGTAGCTTGTGTGGCCACGTTCACTTCTTCCTTGAGAAAGCCTGCTGCCCTCAAAGCATGGGCCGTGGGCCTCAGGCCACTTGTAAACCACTGTAGTGGCACAAGCTAGTGGACTGAGCAAGCGTGGAGGCCAGATCAGACTCAGATTTTTTTAAAACATGGCTCTGACAACAACTAGTTTTGTGACCATCCCCTTTGCCTCAGTTTCTCCATCTGTAAAATGGGTTCAACACTTAGCCACTTCAGACAGAGAGCATATGGCTTAACTGCTGCTTCAGTAAGGGAAATACAGTCAAGCAGATCATTATTCAAAACAAATGATATATTCAAACTGAAAAGTGAACGAGAGGCAGATGTAGCAGAAACTAACTAATGGGCAGTGAAGGATCATTAGCTATAGTAAGAAAGGATTTTAATTTTCACTGAGAGAAAGAAACACGTATAGAGGAGAGGGAGGAAGCTATGGCTCTTGGGTTTATAGGGCCCTTACTGATCTTGCCCTTCAGAAGAGGCTGCGGGCTCAACAAGAGGAGAAAGGACCTAAGCAAGAGCTGCAAAGGTTATGCTTCACAGGTGTTCACTGCACCTCGGCCTCTTCTTTGGAGCAGGAGTCAGATGGAGGGTGAAACAAAAAGCAGAGACAAAATACAAAAATAGCAGGAGTGCGTGTGTGGAGTGGGGGGTTGTGGGGTGAATAATATGTAACAGGCAAACAACCTTAAACATGACAATCTCGATCCATCAGGGCACATTTTGCACAATGAAACCCTTGCTAAGGCGTGATGGGAAAGGTGTGAACATTTTGTGAATTTGTCACAGCCAAGTAATGTGGAATTTGGAGAATTCTATGCGAGTGCTAAAAAATGCATTTCCTGTTACACTCAGGCAAAGTGGGGAGAGATGCTAAAATACTTACGATGGGTGTTCCAAAAGGAATGTAACCTATTAAGAAAAACAAAAAAGAGAAGATATATGCATTTTAATACACAGAGTTTCAGGGGATAATCACACCTGAAAGAGCCAACACTGCTACCATGGCAGGATGCGAGACACTGGGCACACTGCTTACACTAGTTTCAGGCCAATTTAACCTCAGGGGAGTTGCTCCTGATCCAGGGGGAAAACTGATACTGTGGTCCTACTGTTTTTACCAGCTGTCTGCCCCATCCTCTGTATTCCTCATGTGTTTTAAGAGTTTCCCTAGGATTTGAGTCACGATCTACATTACAAAAGCTGTTTCTATATAACTATGTCAACTAGAGGGGTGATTTTTTTTTAAATTAATATAATTATACTGGCATAAACCCTAGTACAAATGCAGTTGTACTGGTGTGCAGGTGCCTTATACTGGCACAGCTTAATTCTCTTCCTAAATATGAGTAAATTTTACTAATAAAAGCACTTTTAAGCTAATCTAGTACACTGGGTGTAGGGTGCAGACTGCTTGCTGCTTTAGCTATTCCAGTACAGTTAGAGTAGCAAAACTTTCTCCTAGAGACAAGTCTTTATCCCAAACCACAGTGAGCCCCAGTCATCAGGTGCTCCATATGCTGCCCTCTGCTACAGATTCTGATCTTCACAGCCCTTTTCATTTCAGGGGCATCTTCCAGCAAGGGACTCGGAGCGAATGCTCACAAATGCAGTTTATGGACAGGGAAACCAAAGCTCAGGGAGCTGGATCAGTTTATCAAAAATTATACAGCAGTTCAGTGGAAGAGCTAGGAATAGGACCCAGGAACCTTAGCTCGCTGCTGCTGTGAGTTATCCCAGGCAGTTGCCCTTCCTCTCCAAAAGGGTTTGGAGGATGAAGGCATCAATCGTGCTGCTTCGATCACATGCACAGATCCTTGCATCACATGCCCCAGCTCAGCACTTCTGAAACAAGAGGAAGGTCTCATCTAAGAGGCGCTGTCCTCAGGGACTGCCCAAGAAGCCCTGCCTTCAGGAGCCGCTGCTCCGTCAGGCCATCTCCTGTACTGAAGGAGGGAACACCAGGAAGGGGGGGAAAGAGGTGAAGCTGATTTAATAATAATGCAGCAGCAATTCCCTTAGCCCAGTGCAGCTCGCTTAGGGCACATCATAAAAGTGGTGCAGACAGACTCTAGAGGAGGAGGACGAGGACGGCTGCAGCTCACCCCTGGGCTGGCCTGGCTGGTGCCTGGCAGGAATCCTGGCTCCATTACTGCTCTACTTTGGTTCTCGCACTATGCTCATCACTAGGGACCTGCCTAAGTCACGGTGAGACGAAGGGTTTTTCGTGGCCCCCTCGCAGGCTGCGGAGCTGCTTTGGCAGGCATTTTGTGGTGGTTCCACCCCTCACCGCTGACTGGTGAAGGGCACCTTCACTCAGCCTATGCCACAACCCCTTTTTTGTTTGGTTGATTTTGTGGGAAATCACAGCCAATGCTGGACTTCCCAGCAATCACGGCAATCGAAGACAACATTGTTTTTCGTGGTTTCTGTGAAACCACAATTTCGGTGGGTCCCTACACATCACCCCAAGTGTGTGACCCATCCCTCAGAGAAGAAAGCACTGAGGTTTTTAGGCAGTAGGTTTCTCTTCAGGCCCCGAGGTTAAAATGAATGCTGACATTTGAGTAAAGCTGGCCTAAATACTAAGATCACGTGCACTTTAAAGATTAGTCAAGCTAGAGTCTACATGCAGATGCTTAGGTGAGGCTGAGAAGAGAGACAGACACAGGCAAAAATGGAACAAAGCCTAGTGCATTATTTTGGGTCAGATTAATCAGACAGATAAATGCCTTGGTTAGAGGATACACCATACCTGACATTCTGAAAGGCATGAAGATAGTCTCATTTGTATCAGGATGTATGATGGCCTAGAAAACAAACAGCAAATAGAAAGAGTGAAGGCATGGAGATGGCTGGCAAACGGGAGCGAGACTGGCCCTTTTCCTGCTGCCCCTTCTGTCGAGTATGTTTAACCAGAGGGCAGGGGTGCACAGGTAGCCATGTCTACAAGAACAGACAGCATGCTGCATGGGGCTCAACATTTTCAGTAGAGTCTGTTGGAAAGCCAACCCTGACTTAGCTTTCCTGCCCTTTTTTAAAAGGCCTTTACATAATCTAAGACTGATGAAAAGTGACAGACTGGAAATGCTGGAAAGACTGAAAGATGGATTATTATGGACAGTAGTTAGGTCCATAAAGACTATGCAAACCGCCTTAACTAGGAACAACCCATTAATTAGGACAAAAGCATTCAGTCACTATATCCCATTCGTTACTTGGTGGTTCTACTGTATCTGCGAAAAAGGCCAGTTTTGATGGTGGGCTGTTTAATCTGGGTGTGAAGGGAATGGACAGACAATCACATGCCCCGGGGTCATTTATATGAGCTTTTTGCATTTATATGCAAGTTAGACACAGATCAGGAACAGACAGACATGCAACAATCCTGCCGGTGCCTATTTGTGCACCTTACCAATAGGCAACAGGGAAACAGGTACTGGCCTACTGACCCTAGGATGGATGTGGGCAGAAGAAATTTAAACCAGTGTAATTTACAGCAGCAGAGTTTATAGCCAGTTCGTGAAGGGGTAAGTCTACACCAGGTTTGGATGAAGTTACCCGACTTTAGAGGTTTTCATTATCTGTCTGCTACTTTTTTTAAACTGGTGTAAATGCGTCAGGTGTCCATGCCTCAAGACTAAACTAATTTCATTCCAGTCAAGCCTTTACCAGAGAGTTATTCCCATCTCCTGGCAAGTGGACTATACAAGAGCTAGCAGCTGAATTACTGGCCAGGCAGCTTGCCTTTTCCATGCATACATTTCTGGTCTTGACACGGGGAAGTTTTTGAAGAAAAAAAAGCAATCAGTTCTAAGCAACTGCTCAGGACAGATTTAAAAATTATTCCAAAAAGTTCCTTTGGGTAACCTGAGTAAATGCAGCTGTTCAGAAGTTCTTGCAATTATAAAAGTAAAAGCACACGTTCTGAAATGACGGATTTTATTTAACGTTCCCTTACTTTAAACATGATGGCCCATCCCCCTCTACATCTAGCTATACATTTTTTCTGGAAGGAAGGGTGAACACAGTACCCATATCTCACAACAATAACGGAAGATTTTGCCTACTCCTATGTACAACAGTTTGACTGCCAGGACTAGGGACAGCTGGGAATTTTGCTAAAAAAAATCCAGCAGAGGTGGACTAAAATTGCAATGGCATAGTCAACCGGTGCTGATGACAAAAAGTCTTCAGAAAAATCCTCTTGGTTCTAATATAGGCTCATAACATTTCTTCTAAGGGTATGAGACCAGTTCAGTGTTCATGCTAACAGGCCTTGGCTTCTCTGCTGAGACTCCCAAGCCTAGGAGACAACTGTAGGGGTTTATTTTGGTTTGTTGTTCTGTTTTTTGGAGGTTTTCAATTTTTTTATTTTACACTGTGGACATCAAGACCTGGAGGGAGTCTACCCACTTGTTCTACTCGTGACCCATCCATCCATAACTCACTTAGCTTAAGCTACACTTGGATCCAAGCTGGTGAGGCTACACCAGCATAGAAAACTGGGGTACATGTGATGAGAATCAGGCAGAAATTCAGGATGCTCCCAGTGAAAATATGGCAGAATTTATCATTCCTGAAGAATGATTAAACTACTCAGTGAGAAAGTGGAGACCAAAAGTCTCTTGGCTAGATAGGTGGGAGAAAAAGACAACACAAAAACATAAACACTAAAATAAAATTAAGAATCTTGGGCAGAAACACGTTGTTAGCATATGCATTTTCTCTGGCAAGGCAGTAGAGCAGCTGAAAAACCTGCAGTGGAGAGAAGAGCAACACATTTTTTCCCCATTTATAGAAAACAGAAAGGAAACAGTGACATTTAAGAGAAATAAAATATTTAAAATCACATTACCTGCTTTATTTTTTGAGCTCCCCACAGCTAGAAAAAATGAGAGAGAACATTAAAGACATCAGCACAGTGGCCACACGTTCTGAGAACCAAAGGTTCATACAAAATCAGAAACATCAGATCTCTGACCTATTACAATAAAGAAAGGAGAATTGCTCCACGAAAGAAGCTACTTCTCTACACTTCTTAGAGATATCTAAGACGTAGTGACCCATTCTTCTATTTTCATCCATACTGGGCGCGTCTACACGTGCAAATACTGCGGAGTGGGCTTACTCTAGAGTAAACCCACCCTGGGCAGGTGTTTACACGTGCAGGAATTCAGGAGTAATTTGCTGCTCCTGGCTGCAGTCTGCTCCCACCCCCTCTGGCCCTGCACCAGCCCCCTACAGCAGCCAAGGGGAGCTCTAGTCTCCCCCTGGGCGCTAGCCCAGGAGCTGACACAAAGCGCAGGGACTGGGAGATTGCTCCCTGACGCAGGGAGCTGCCTGCTGCCGTCCGGTGGCACAGCCCAGGTGGGGACAATGTCCCCCTGCCCCAGCAGCAGGGAGCTCCCGGTCCCGGCTCCTTGACCGGAGGCAGGGGGTTTCGAAAGAACTGCAGGGGAGGGGCAGGTCCCAGCCCCTTGCCCCACCGGCAGATCAGGGCTGGGGGTTGAGACCTGCCCGTACCCTGCAGCTCTTTCCGAGCCGCATGCCTTGATTGCCTGATTGGGGCACAGGACTGGGAAAAATATGCAAGGCTGGGACCTGCCTCTGACCAGGATAGCTCCCGCCCGGCCAGCTCCAGGCTATGCAGCATGGAAGTGGCTGGGGACTGTCCTGTTCTTTCTTCTCCGCGATCGCAGAGTGGGGGCTGGGAGCACCCTGCTGCCGGGGCAGAGGGACACTGTTCCCACCTGGGCTCCAGTGGCAAGGCCCACACTGGAAGCAGGCAGATCCCAGGAGCAAGGAGCAATCTCCTGCCCCTGGCTACCTGGCTGACTGGGAGCAAATTGGTCAACCATTTACACGTACTGTACTGCGCAGTAATTACTCAGCAGTTAATCTGCTGCTTACCTCATTAGCCAGAGAAAGCAAAAGATCCTCCAGGCAAATTGAATGAGAGAGAGGCTGGAGCCTGGCACTCCCGAATTGGACACGGCTTGGGTGATGCCACACCAGGGATACAAGAACAACTCAACTAAGGTTTCTCTCTCTTTCTCCTGGGGCGGCTGAGAGCTGCACAGATGAATTGGGAGCTAGAAAACCTGCTCCCCATGGGGGCAGGTCGTCCCCCGCTTCACTGGAGGGGCAAGCAAAAGCTGTGTCATGGGAAAGCCTTGAGTAGAGAGAAAGAAAGTCTGTCTTGGAGTTTGAGACTCCTATTTCCTCCCTCTTCCCCCTCCCCTTTTTTTCCTAGAGTGGGGGTATTGATCCCTGGAGCAAAGTGATCAGGAAGGGAGTCCTGGCAGTTTTGGCCGCACAAGCCTCGGGTGGAATAATATGATGGGGGTCCCAGCCTACCTGGGCATGGGTAAAGCCTCCCCAAGAGGATGCCACCTATAGATTTTGCTTTGTGCTTAATAGTGTTTTTAAATGATATTTCATGTTTTCTTTTGTTTTGTTTCATTTTCTGTAATAAAGCAAGTGTTTGCGTTTACACTGCTTGCAAGGAGGGGCTTTGTTTATACGGGACACCCCAGCAAATTTAGTGTTCCCCATTTTTCTGGGTGGGGGCTCAAGCCACTGGTATAATTTCTGAGGTACCCCGAAGTGTGAACCCGGCCCTTTTTGCTGCCGACTGATGGCCGGCAGAAGGGCTACGCTAGCTTCAACAACATGAGCAACCCAGGGGCTGCTTCCCACAAACACTGGTACAACAGAACCAATCACCATTGGAGAACAGTTATGCAGAAGGAAAGTATCACGAAAATTCACACGCACATTTATTATTTTTTGTAATAGTCATGCCGGAAGACCTCAAGTGGGGGCCCTGTTCAGCCAAACATATAGAAGAACACGGTCCAGGCTTCAAACAGCTCATGATTTACATTAAATAAAAGATGCAACAAGTAAGCGTTACTAAGAGAGAGGAAAGGAAGAGGAAGGGGAAGGAAGATGGGATGTGACAGATGGCAAGCCATCACCTCCAAGGCCAGAAGGGAACATTGAGACCATGTACCCCAGGGCTGGCCAACCTGTGGCATGGGTGCCTCAAGTCGGCAAGCATAGTCTGTGTCTGTGGCATGTAGGGATGGTACAGCAGCGTAGTGGCAGATAGGACAGGAAGCAGAAAGCAGAGCATCAGATCAGGCAGGAAGCTGAGCAGCAGACTGGGTAAGGGAAGGGTATCAGCGTGGCACTCAGGGAGGGCTTGGGGCTAATTTTTGACGTGCCTCCCAAAAAGGCTTGGCCCCCACGGATGTAACCCAACCTGCATTGCATGGCCAAAAGACTTCCCCCATGTAATTCTTGCTTTAGCGTGAGTACGTCTCAGAAAAACATCCATGCTTTGATGCAAGTTTCCACGGATGGAGAATCCATCACAACTCTGGCTTTAATCATGAATTGCCCTCACTGTTCAAAATATAGTCAGAGTCTGAATTTGTCTTGGGGCCAATCGCTGCTATGCTGAGAAGCTTTCCATTGCCCCATGTAGGTCCTTATAGAGATGGGAATCAAGTTACCCTTTAACGTTACCACCCCCCGCTATGTTTAATGGAGCCAGCTCTATGCATCCGCATGAAGCATATTTTCCAGTTTTTTAACTGTTCTTGTAGCATTTCTCTAAACCAGTTCCAGCTGTCCAACATTTTTCCTGAGCTGGACAAAAGCATCCCAACAGCAGCTTTCCAGTGCCAAGACAGTGATGACAAAACCTGGCTGGTCTTACTGGATAGGCCCCTGTTTATTAGGACAAACATGCCATTAGCCTTTTTGGTTCACATTCAGATGATTATCTTCTCCAAGCTCTGGGTGCAAGTTGGTGGTTTAGTGGCTTAAGGTTTAGGTTTTCTAAACCAGGTATCTGCCGCGTTCCTTCACATTGAACTTGGTCCTGCTCTCGCACAAACGGTCACGGGGAGTAAGGTACCAACTCCGGAGAAGGAAGGGTAGCAGAACCTGGCCCCCAATTTATACCATTCTACACCGGCTGCGTCAGATGCTTCACAGATACTTAAAGGGAAAAAGAGCTGATCTTCAAAATATTAGACAAAAGTCACCTGCATTCAAACAGAAATCTCATCAGGTATTTCTACCAGATCTAAACATGTTATACAGCAAAGCACAATTAAGATAAAAAAAAAAAAAAGAAAGAAAGAAAGAAACCCCCCCAAAAACCAGATATTGGATTTATTTCAGGTCTCAGTGTCCCAACCTTCGATTTGCATCAAAACAGGTTCAGGACAATCGTTTACACACCAGCTTAAATGGCAATTAAATTAGTCACAACTGGCCTGGGTGCGAAGTTTTATCTTAGATACTTCACAGGTACTCAAAGTGGGGCAACGGATTTGTGCATCTGTAGGATCCCAGGAGAAAAGGCTTTGACTTGAGAGAAATCCAATATCCGTTTTTACCCTAGCTGGCGTGGTCCGAGGCGGGGGTGCAGGCTTTAAGCTCCCGTTTCGGCTGACATGTCAGATGCAACGGGCAAAAGTCCAGAAGAAAAAGGCAGTTTCCACACAAACAGGCTGAGTATTTTGGTCCAGGTAAACGATGATGTCAGTTCATCCCAATATTAGTGCGCTTTCCTGCTGCAGTACAGAGACTGTCAGAGTGCTGGATTGCTGTCACTTCCCAGAAAGAGATGTTACAAGCGGCACCCGATGAGTCACCAAAAGATTCTGTCAGCTCATTTTTCACATTTTTTTAAGTCTAATTCATCACCACCATCTTTCTTCAATGGCTTCAGCAAGCCCAGTAGCTGCTTTTGCCCATCAGTGGCTTGTTCCCAACAGCAAATCTCAATTGAAGGTAGGGACTCCATTTGGGCTCTCTTTGGTCATCTTAGGCTGCAAACAGACGTTGACTTTGTGCCACCATAAAAACTTTTATGGTGGCATAAGAGCTGAGTGAACCGACATCATAGCCCTTTGTTGCCTGGGGTAACCCTGACTCACCTGTTGCTCCAGGCAGAAACTCCCCCAACCTCATGGAACTGATTCTGCGAGGGAAAAGGCCCTGGGTGCCCTAACCTGATTTGGGGTGTGCGTTTAGTCAAGGAAACCCCCACTTACGGATGAACTCATGCTGGGGCACAGGAGAATCCCCCAGCTGGGGATATCCCAGGCATGTGTTTGTACCCTGGTGGGGAAATCGTTCCCTTGACATGGGTTTGCAAAAGCAGAGGAGGGAGTTCCCCCTCTACTTTCACATGGCCCCAACCCAGGGTTGGCAGTATAAGCGTGTTGGTACACAGCATGCTTTTCTCACTGCCACGCACGGGTCAGGGCACCGCATGCAAGCAGAAGACGGTATCCTTAGCAGAGTTCCCCACTCTGTACTTAAATCCCCTGCTGGGAGATCCCAATGCACCGATATGGGGGCGCATCTGCAAGCAGGGGTTTCTCTGTTTGAAGACACATACCTCAAGTCAAGATGGGGCACCCATGGCCCTTTTCTCCCCCCAGAATTGGTCCCCTGAAGCCCTGGAGGGGCAAGGGACAGACCCTGTGTGAGGACAGCTCTAGCGATGTCTGTTAGATGCCTGTGAAGCAGATCAACTGTGCTATGACATAATCGCAGCACAGCTGGTAATGCTCCAAAGATGTCTGTTTTCAGCCTCAGAGATTCAGCCAAACTCTGATCTCATTTATGCTACTGTAAATCTGGAGTGAGCTTACTGATGTAATGGCGCTACCTTACACTGACGATGATTTCAGAAACGGACCTCTTGCAGACTACTTGAGGCTGGTCTTCTACAACGGGCAATCATTTTCTCCGTAGGTTCTAGTGTATCTTAATAATTCATACATTCATTAACAATTTATACATTAGTCACTCTGCAGTTTGTGCCCTCTCTGAGCGCTTGATACCTTCCAATTT